GGTGGCCTAGTGGTTAGAAGTTGTACTACAATTCCAAAGTCACATGGTTCAAATACACCAGCCACTCTGTGGGAGAAGAATGGGAAATCTCCTCCCATTTGATTTACTGTCTCTGAAAAACTGCTGAGAGTCAGCTATGGGTCGGTTCCCAACAAGTCATATCAGTACCACCAACATACCAGAGAATGTTCTGCTGCTGTTCAAAAGGTTTTCAAGGGCCCATCATTTCAGAAATGGACAGTCAGCCCAGTCTGTCTTAATTTGGATGCTCCACTGAAACCTATCCACTGTAGGTGACCCTCCTGGTATCTGAGAACTGGTGGCACAGTCTTCATCCCTGTTAGTCCCACTGTTTGTCACTGTGAGTGGAAGAATCAGGCAACAAAACGAAGGGACAGGAGAGGTCGGGTGGTGCAGTTCGGAGCCTGCTGTGCTGCTAACCAAGACTCCAGAGGGTTTGATAGTGAGTAGGTCCATGCAGGTACTAGTGAAAGCTGCGTCAAGGCAGCAACAAAACTGGAAAAATATGCTCAAAGACTTCCAACTGCTCAGCCTCTCAGGTGCCTTCAAGTGAATTTTCACAGCTGGATTTAATTTAATTAGGACATGAATACCACAGAACCCTGTGATGCTACACAGGGCTGAGTGCTGGATTTCTGTCCCAAAGAACCACTTACTTCTTCCACAGAATGTGAGTGGGACTAATGCTGCCACTTCCATCTTCACTGGAACATCCACTTCCTCTTTCATTCTTCCCTTCCCTTTCCCATGCCGGAATGATGCTGAGGGTCTTTCTCAGATGTTTCTAGAACCATTCCTATCACTTGCATTATGCTGCCAAGTTACTCCTTGAAACCCAAATACCCTGCACAGCTGCAGTGGTTGAACTGGTTTTCTGCCAGTTTGTAGGCTGCTCTCATCTAATCTCTGTCTAAGCGCTACACCCTGCCCTACAATGTTGCTTAGAAACAGATCGGACCATGTTTTCCTCTCACTGAAGCCTCTCTTAGCTTTAGGATAAAGTCCAAGCTTGGTAACTCAGTGAGCAAGACCTTCACCAATGTTTCTCCATGATTTTATCACGAGCACAACTCTAGTGTATGTTCTGGCCTTGGAGAACAATGCCTTTGGTTTCCTGAAGTCACCCCTTACTCTCAGCTCTAGCAGGTTGCATGCACTGCTCCTGTGCTTGGTAAGCCCTTCCAAACTCCCTTTTCTGTTGGGAGAATGACTTCTGTGGGCATGGCCCAGTGAAAACACTTCCTATTCTGCAAAGCCTTCGCTGGCTCCCATCATACTTAAGGCCCAAGCAATCTTATACGACATAAGGGGGGGGGGATAAATAAAACTGTAAAATAAAAGCTGACCCTCCAGCTTGGTTTTTAGAGACTATTAAACTGCACAGGAGGAGACCATCCACTTTTCTCCAGCTTAGCAGAAGGCAGATTGAAACCGCCTGAGATGAGCGGCCTTGGAGTTAGCAGAACAACTCTACGGAGAGACTGTGACACTGGAGCTCATATGAGCAGTAAAGTGCTCATATTCATGGACTATCATGGCCCTTGGTATTTAATAAATATTCATTAACAAAAGTGACAGGGAACCCAACCCCAGGAAACTCACCTCATAATAAAATCAGGAAATGTGGCCTACAGAAAGAAAGAAACTTGAAGAACTAGACTCTAAAGCAAACATACTTCCCATTCTTCCTCTTTTTTAATTTTCTCTTTGTTATTACATGCTGTCAAGCTGATTACTACTCATTACTACCCTATGAACTGGTCTGAACACTGCTCTATCCTGGCCCACCCTCACAATCTCTGATGCACTGTTACAGTCACTGTGCCAATCCATCTCACTGAGTGTCTCCCCTTCTTTCTCTGACTCTCTCTACCTGTTCCAGCAGGATGTCTTTTCCCAAGGACTGGCCCTCCCTGACAACATGCTCAAAGTACACGAGACAAAGTTTAACCATCCCTGCTTCTAAGAGATACCTTGCTTGCACTTCTTCCCAGATAGACTTTTTGTTTGTTCTTTTGGCAATCCATGTGATATTCGGTCCTTTTCAGTTATTCTAGGCAAACTCTGGTGGTCTAGTGGGTAAAGAGTTGTGATGCTACCTCAAAGGCATGTAGTTTGAATCCACCAGCTACTCTGAGGCAGAAAGATAGGCAATCGCCTCTCCTGAGATTTATAGTCTCAGAAAACCTGCTTGGGGGGGGCGGGGGAGGCAACAATGAGTCGGTTTCAACTCAACAGTAATGAGAATGAGGAATATTTTCTCCCTAGCCTCTAAGTCAAGCACAGGTGGTGGAATCATGGAAATAAATGGCAACGAATATTATTAAGTGTTTAGTGTGACCCTCTGAGGATGTCCTAGACTCCATAAAGAGTCTAGCCTGTGAATCCATATAAACCCCTAAATGTTTGGGTGAAATGTGGTACGACCAAGGTGCTGTTACCATGCACAGAGCCTGCTGGAGCTCTGAGTCCAGTTCAAGGAACCACCTCATTCTACCTCTGCCTTGATAGGTTATACCATGCCAACCTAAGCCACTCTGCTGGAGGATGAGACTGGCATGCTTGGGAGCAGACACCTATCCACCAGCAGACACAGCAAAAGCAATTAGCAGGGAAAGAAATCTGGGAAAATCAAACCTACGCAGCAAGAGAACTTTCTTTTAGAGAGTTAATGTGGCTAAGATCAAAGGGCGCTCTGGTGGCCAAGTGGCAAGAAGCTGCACTGCAATCCCAAAGGCACACAGTTCAAGGTCACTTGTAGCTCTGTGGAAGAAGGATGAGCAATCTCCTCCCCTGAGAAGAACTGCCTGTGAAAACCCACCAGAGGGTCGACTATGGGTTAGTTCCAACTCTGATACACAACAACAACAGCAGGATTAAATAAATAGAATCGTGAATATAATCTGATCTGAGGCTTTAAGAATGTCTAATTCTGGACCTGTGAGTAGGAAGTCAAGAAGCCAAATAAACACTGGCTGAAATGAATGCCAATCTATGATTTTATCTACTCACATCAGTGCTGAAAATAACCTGGGGAAAGGAGTGGTAAAATATCTATTCTAAAATAACTATATATCAAAAATAAATTCAACCCTAATTTAGCCGAGCACTACCAATTTCCATGTATCACAAGAAAGTTATAAAGGCATGAAAAAAACCCAAACCAATTCTATCACTTTTGAATTACAAAGGTAATAAAATATACTGTAAAATGAGATAAAAACAACAGGCAGTAGGGGAGGATGAGAGTCAGGGATATAAAAACACAGTCAAGATAAGAATTAGGTACTGATGGCGAGGTTGTGAAGCAACTGGAACCCTTATTCACTGTTGGTGGAAGTGTAAAATGGTGCAACCACTATGGAAGGCTGTATGGCACTTTCTCAAAAACTTGAAAATAGAAATACCATTTGACCCAGCAATTCCACTACTGGGAATTCACCCTAAAGAAACCAGAACTGCCACCCAAGTAGATATATGCACATCCATGTTTACTGCGGCTTTGTTCACAAAAGCAAAGAGTTGGAAACAACCCAAATGCCCACCAACAAATGAATGGATAGAGAAGCTATGGTATAGTCATACAATGGAATATTATGCTGCACTGAAAAACAAGGAACTCATGAAATACTATACAAAATGGGTGACCCTGGAGGATATTATGCTGAGTGAAATATCTCAAGTCAAAAAAGAACAAATACTGAATAGTGCCACTGCTGTAAAATGAGACTGACTTTGAGGTTGGGGAAACTAAGAGGGGATAAATAATGTATACTGCATTGAAACAGATGAGGGAGAGAACTGTTTAGGAGGAATATATGATTAGATATTATTGTCATGACAAGAGTCCAGAATGAAAGTGGCATAGTGGAGTGGACTGGGGGATGGAGGGGGATTGTATTACAATGAAAGATTTTTTTATTCTACTTCTTAAAGAGAAAAGCTAACTGGGGGGGAGGGGGGAGCAGGGTAGAAAGTGCAACAATGAATGAATGGAAATCCAGTCTCTGTAAACATTCATCAAAATAATAAAAAAAAAAAAAAATAAAAAAAAAACAAAACCAATTAGGTACTAATGCCCTAGTTAGTGGGAAAGCCCTAACCCTACCACTACCACTACCTCCATCTCCATCTCCATCTCCCTTTTAAACTCCAAAGGATTAAATGCCATACAATAGTATCAAGAAGGAAGTAGGAGTCACACAGTGCTTAAAAATCAGCACACTGGTCAGGTTTCACTTAACCACTTTGCAGAAACAAGAAAAAGAAGAAAATAACTAGAGTCTAACTAGATACACCTAGTTTACAGTTCACCTCCAAAAGAAAAGACATTCATATTTTATGACCCAAATGATTAGAAGAGCAGGCATCCTGCACAAAGAAAAGCGAAAGCTGCTTCCGACAATGGACCACGTTCTCAGTCATGAGAATGTCTCCAAAGAAAACAATTAAGGGTGGAGTCAAAAAGCACATCCTGGGCCAGGCTCAAATCCAAGGTGACGCCAGTGGTCAATTTTGGAGAGTTAATGAGTATAAATTTTAAATATCGTGATAATGAGTTCTTAATGATTGAGGGATTTATGTCACCAGGCTTTCTAAATACCTTGAGTGAATCATTCTATAAATACACATGTTGGAGTATGTATATACTTACTACATATATTCTTTTCCCCCATCTTCTTATAGCAACAGTTCTCATACAAAGAACCTCATTTTAAAAACCTGAATCCTGCTTCTAGCTGAGAATCCAGCCAACTAAAATAGACTCTTAGAATTTTGCCAAAAATACCATTTCCTCCCCTCCAATGAGCATCTCCTGTCAATAAAAAATTGGTTTATGGCATTCTGTTGTCAAATAAAGACTCTCATTATTTCTACTGCTTATCAGATATACTTGGAATAAAACAGACCACACAGTAGAAGGGTCGGACCATAAGCGAGATGGGTTAGACCAACTGCTCTTTCTGCCATGCTCTTACCAGTTTTATTTTAGAAGAAAGATTCTCTGGCAATTTTGTTTTCAGTTGATTTGTTTCCTTGAATGTCAGTGGAAACCCACTCAGGAAAGCCAAGTCTTGCATTAGCACTAACCCGGGGACTTCTTTATCTGCTGTCTGAAATGAGAGAGAAGAAAGATCGCAACTCACTATCCATACTGTGTGGTGGGGAAAATACACAGCTCAGATGTAAACATCTACTGTGTTACACAGGCTCAAAATAAAAACGTCAAGCTTACTTAAATCAACAGTCATTAATACTAGTGGGCCAGCCTTACAGAAAAAGAAACATTAAAAAAGTCTCTGAAACGAAATCCATTAACATAGGACAGTCGTTTCATGGCCATTATTACACATCCTTTTAGTCTAGTCTGCTGTAAAAACACAATTAAACTTCAAATAACATACCAAGTAGCCCCTCCAAACTGTCTGTCTGCTGTTTCCTTTAGATATTCCAGCATGGGCTTCTTCAACTGCAAAACACAGAAGTTACAAAGTGAAAGTATAGAATAAACCAATGTATTTTTAATGGCCAATTAGCTACATTGTGTGTAGGACACTGGGGAAAGCATTCTGAAAGTTATTAAAGAAGTACACTACAGTCTCCAAACACGGTTCTTGAAGGAGACAAAATAGACACAGATGGCAAAAGGAATTCACTTTCAACTAAATGTTAAACTCTGCAAGTCCTGAAGGAGAGCTATGTGTAGGCAGCAGACATGTACATTTCAAGAAACAGCTGCATTTGAGCTGGATCTCAAAGGGGGAAATGCCAAAAGGATGAAAATCACAGCTGGATATATCTGAGATGAGAAAATAAAATTTACAAAAATGAAAGTGGTTCTACTAAAGGTTTAGAAGTGGTGAGTGACTGTGTTGTTGCTGTGAACTGTTAAGTTGGAACCATCCCATAGCTGACAATCCAGTGGGATTTCAGAGGCAGTTAACTACACAAGAGGAAAATGTTCATCTTTCTCTCATGGAGTGGGTGGTGGATTTGAACAGCACACCTCTGTGTTGGCAGCACAATTCTCTATCACTAAGCCACCGGACCCTCCTTTCAGAGAAATGAGTAGGAGGTGAAAAAAAGAGTAACTAGGTAAGTGGAGCCTGGACAAGGCAGGGAATCACTGTAGATCTTACAATGCTTACAATGATTTTTTAGAGTCATGAAGTGGTTTTCCAAGGCTCATCAGGTAAAACCAAATAATACAGAATAGAGCATATTAAACAGGGACAAAGATGAGGGATGCAACATGACTGGGAGAGTACTCCACTGCTGACACGCAGGCATTGTGGAAAACAGAAGAGCGGTCAGGAGTCTTCAATTCTGCTCTTCAAAATAATTTCAGTGTGAAAAACACTGTATAGAAACTCTGTATGTAAACCAGTGTAAAATAAAATGGGAGGGGGGGGTATGCCAAGAAAGCAGATTCTGAAAACTGCCGCCTAGTGAGATGGAGATCTATCCGGAGCAAGAGCTTCACACACACCATGAAAATACAGTTGGTGTGCAGTGGAGAGAAGCAGCCTTCGCAGTACGTGGCTGATCTTCAAAAGGAGCGCTGAGCCTGGAGGACTGTTGCTGAGTCGACCATGACTCGGGGAGCCTGTGAAGAACAGATCTGAATCCTGGCCTATCCTCCCCGTCTCCGAGGCACTCCAGTTCAGAGTCACAGTCACTATAACCCAACCTGTTGAAGGTCTTTCGCTCTTTCTCTCACCACCCACCTTTCCCAGATGATTTCTTTTTCTAACTACCAGTCTGTCCTGACTACATGCTCAAAGTATGTAAGATGAAGTTTCACCATCCTCTCCCCTAAGAAACACCTTGACTCCCCTTTACTGCCCATAAATGTATCAGTGCATCTCTCTCTCTTGACATGTTGTGTTCTAATTCTGTAGACTTCTTCATAATGTTTTAAAAAGCAAAGATGTCATTTTGGTGACTAAGGTACAATGGTCTTTTCAATTGTTCCATATATACATGAAAGCTAAAAAAAAAAAACCAGAAGAACTGACACATTTGAATTATGTTGTTGGTTAAGAATACTGATTACAGACTGAAAGAACAAGCAGCAAATCAGTCTCAGAAAACAAAACACAAACACTCAGAATGCTACTTAGAAGTGTGAATGGCGAGACTTTATTTCACTTAATTTGAATGTATCATCAGGAGATACTGTTAGAACAAAGAGCTCATGACTTGGAAGTGGAGGCTTGGTGAAGGAGAGGGAGGTCCAGTGAGATGAACCAACAAAGCGGCCTAAACAATAGACCCCAACATAGCAGCATGCTGAAGATAAGCAGCACTGCATTCTGTACACGCACCTCACCAAGAATGGGAGGCCAGAGAGCAGTTAACACAGCCTGGGAGATGATAGCATCTTAGCAGACTCTCTCTCTCACTCACACAAATGCACATGCACAAAGAAATAGTCTCACCAAGGCAGATAACAACTCCTGTTCCCTCTTGGACAGAGACAGACGTACAGGCTGAACACTCATTTGAGCAGTTTATAACTCAACTAGGGAGCTCTGGGAGGACACAGTTTACACTGAATTGTGCTACTAACCCAAAGGCTATGTTGTCTTTGGAAGTTTGAATCCACCAGTGGCTCTGAAAAATGGAGATGGGTAATTTCCTGTTGCTATTTAGTCTTAGAAACGTGATGGAGTGGTTGTGAACTGAAATCTACCTGACAGTAGTACTATAACCTAACCAATGGCTGCCTGGAAAGTGATTCACCATAAGACACAATCAAAATCCCTGCAGGCTTACAGGGATATTCTAGAGGTCTTTGGGTTTTTTGTTCTTTTTGGTTCCTGCCCCGCCCCCCCAACTCTCCTGTCAAGGGTTTTCAAAGGCGCCCTGGGGATACAGTAGTTAAAGAATCCAGCTGTTGAGAGAATGACTGCTGTTTTGAGTCTACCAGGCTCTAAAAGGAAGGAGATCTGATCTCATAAAGATTCACGGCTCTGGACACTCTACTGGGCTATTCTAGTCTATGTTGCAAGGTTGCTAAGGGGTTCCAGTGGCCCAAAGGTAAGAAGTTGCACTGCCAAGCCAAAGGCCCACAGTTTGAATCTACCAGCTGCTCTGCGGTTGAAAGATGGACAATCTCCTCCCTTGTGATTTACAGTCTCTGAGGGCAACCTGCTGGAGGGTCAGCTAGGAGTTGGTTCTGACACAAAGGTGCATAACAACAAGAGCATTGCTACATTGTAATCAGCTGTTGGCAATCAGCTTGGCGTTTGCCAAACATCTGAGACAGAGAGGGCATCCTTGTGAAATCTGTGAATGCAAAATTAAGAATTCCCAAATTTTTTTACTGATTGAAGCAATGATTCAAATCTGATAAACTAAAAGCTTCTATAAGCAGAGGTAATCAATCTGATTCAGGTGAAATCCATGTGTACAGTCTGCATTTATGTTTCTTATAAAAGGTATTTGCAATGAATAAATCATTGATTGTGCAAAATTCTATCATACTAATCCAGCCTCATTTCTGTCACCAAATCCATGTTTTCTGACTACTGATTGTTCTTCCTGGTTCCCAACTTTTGCATTCCAGTCACTCATTATTATTAATGCACCTTGGTGGCATATTAAATTGATTTCTGACTGCAAAAGTTGGTTGAAATAATCTATTTCCTCCTCTTTAGCTCTGGTTGTTGATACACCTAGTGTGCTGAAACTGAAGAGGACCTAACGTGCTTGTGGTAAGGTCAAGGACCGTAATTTTCAATATGGACTGAAGCTCAACATCAAGAAGACAAAGATTCTCACCACTGGGCCAACTGGCAGCACCATAACAGATGGAGAAGAGATTGAGGTTGTTAACAATTACAGCTTGCTCAGTTCCAAAATCAACACTTTTGGTACCAGCAGTCAGGAAATCAAAAGGCAAATTGCAGTGGGTAAATCTTCTGTCAGGGACCTTCACAAAGTACTGAAAAGCAATGATGTCAGTCAAGAGACTAAGGTGTGCCTGACTGTCCGGGGTCTTCACAATTACTTGCTATGCAGCAAAGAGCTGGATAATGACTAAAAATGATAGAAGAATTAATGCCTTTGACTTGTGGGGCTGGAGAAGATTCCTGAACATACCATAGTCTGCCAAAAAACAAATAGGTCTGTCTTGGAGAGGGTGAAACCAAGTTTCTCCTTGAAGGCTACTATTTTATTATTATTTTTTTAATTGCTTTAAGAGGCTAGGATTTTTAAGCTCTGTCTCACATACTTTGGGCATGTGGCCAGGAGGGACAGGTCCTTGGAGAAGGACATCATGCTCGGAAGGGTGGAGGGTCAGCGCAGGAGGAAGGCCCCAGATAAGATGAACTGATACAGTAACTAGGGTAATAGGGGTAGGTATGTAAGACTCAGTGAGACTGGCTCAGGACTGGGCAGGCTACAGAGCTGCTGTACACAGGGTCACTATGAATTGCAGGCAACCTGACAGCACACAAAAATAACAACAACAAGCAGACATAAGATCTTTAACTTATCACCAAAACCCCAACTACACAAGCATAATGAAGTACTTGAGTATTGGCACATAAATTTTAAAAAGACAGGGGTCTTATCACTGACAGTGGGTCCAGCCTAAGAAAGCCCACAAAGTACTGTAGCTTGACTTTATTTCCATTACATGGATGTACTTTTAGGCAACAATTCAGTACTTAAAACAAGAAAGTTGTATGCCCCTCAATGCTCAAGCCTCAATGCCCTTATTGAAGTGATCTTCAAAATAGCCACACTCTAGCTTCTCAAAGGCTTCATTGCACCTCCCTGATCCAAACTACCTTCCCTCTTGTCTAAATTACACCTCTAGCCCCTTACAGTCTAGTCCCACCACAGCACTTGCCAAAGTCTTTGTCACGACTACTATACTTGATACTTGGTACCTCATTACCTTTCTGGGTTTCTCTCCAGCCACTTTCTCTCTTATTCACTCCATTCCAGACACGTGGATGTGTGAAGACACTGATAGCTACAGTGTGACAGGCCAGTGAATGTCAAGGGGAAAAACCAAGGCAATTAAAGATGTGCTCAGAAAACCAAGAGGAGGACTTGTATCTATGTGAACAGCAAATGCAGACTATTATTCTTTTCAGAAGGAGAACAAGTCAACGCAATTACAATTCTCAGAGTGATTTGACAGCTACGTGCTAGACACTCTGGAAGAGAATTTTACAGGGAGCTAGAGCAACTGAGAGGCTTTGTGAGGGGAACGAGTGGAGAGCACAGGAAAGAGATTAATGAGAAAGGTAAGACTAAGAATCATTAGCAAAAACAGGAACAAGTGATATACGAGATCAATTATTAGTTACGGAGATAAGAATGTATGAAAAATGGGCTCAGAGATTCAAGCTTAGGGGTATGCCACTGATAAAACAAGAAACTAAGAACAGGACTGTGTTGGAAAAGGAACATGATATCTAAAATGAAGGAAGCCACCTTGTTGAGAAATTATAGGAAAAAAATAGGTCTCCAGATGTAGAGCCAAGAGAATGAAGTCGTTATCAACAACGGACTTGTCTTAGCACAGAAAGGTAAAGGTTAAAACACAAATCAAAGCTCATGCATTCTCTTTCAGAGGTAAAGGTTGAAATAGCTCTTCTGCCTCTCCCTGCAAATTTTCAATTTCTCAACTTCAGTGACATTTCATGAAAATGGAATAATTTCCATTTCATTCAGAATTTTGTTATTTAAGCATCCAGTGATGATGAGATTTCAAAAATATCAATGAAAAGATCTTACCATCCCCCGGGCTGTCGAAAACCACCACTGAGACATTAGTAGAAGGGTTTTTTGGCTTTGCCACATTGAACATGTCACTGGCAGAATGGAAGGAAGGGTAGAGAGACGGCAGATCCTTCAGGGTGACGTTGGTCGGCAGGGCTGGGTCCAGGACAAGCATGGGCACCTTAATGCAGTGGGTCAGCAAACATTCCAGGTGCTTCTCACTGCAGAGAAACACAACTTAGGGTTCTTAGGGCTGCATCCTTGGAAACGTAATCAAGATAGAAAAGCTTGTTGATGTAGATATATTTTCCAGGATTTTTAATTGTGCCAAGGAACCATACATAGCCCAAATGTCAGTTACTCCAACAGAATAAAAGCATATGTCTATTTTTTTAGCAAATGTGTGTAAAATTATTAAGAAAATATAATTCTTGAGATAAAACTGTTATTCTGTCAATAACATTGCATTCACAATATAGTCATACCAAAGTACACAAGAAATAAAGTACTTCATGAACATTTTCACGAAGTTATTCATAAATCCAGGAGATGAAATAAGCAGACAAATTAGGAGAAGGAAAATTCTCACTAACAGAATGTCATTTTACCAGATACAGCTTACGAATTAATTACAAAATAATTAAATACATTGGATATGAAACCATACTGCAACAAAAGCGAACGTGACACAAATACAGCAATATGCCAATACAAATTCATCTGAAATGCTTTTATCCAAACACAGGAAATAGCTACACAGCCCAATAAGAGAGTAAGGATATGGCTGTGGTTGTTAAGTTCTGTCAAGTCGCAGATGACTCATAGTGACCTTATGAACGAAAGACCTGAACACTTGTGCAACTTACATTGTTTCTCCAAGTTCATAGAGTTTCCGGAGGCAAGCTATTACGAAAGTGGATGCCACTCCTGCTTCCAAGCTTGTTTTAATCGGGGAACTCCAACAAACACTGTCTACCATGAGTTACCTTTGTACAGCAAATGGACAGATCAGAGCTATACCACTTAGAAGAATGTTTGACCAAAAGCAATAAAAACCAGGCCTGAGGGCTGCAGATTAAAATCACCCACTTTTGACTTGGGAGCATAACTTTCAATCTATCAGGTCCACAGAGCTCTCTCTAGGTTGGTGTTGTTGTTAAGTGCCGTCGAGTAGAATCAGGCTGCTCCAAACCACTGCCCTATCTGGAAGCCAGCCCATACTGCTGAGCCCAAGCCTTTTCAAATAGAAGGCCAAATACAATCAAGTCACTCCCAATGGCTAATAAACACTGCACCTTATGCCTCACCTGAAAACAAGACCAAACCTCTGTAGAATCAGGCTGCTCCAGACCACTGCCCCACCTGGAAGCCAGCCCATACTACTGACCTCAAGTCTTTTAAAGTAGGAGGTCAAAGGATATGGCTGGCTAGACACTGTAAACTGAGAACTATAAACAGCTAAACATATGAAATTGTCCAATCTTACTATGTAATGTAAATTAAGAAAATGGAACTTCTAAAGAAATTATTATTAATATATTGTTGTTGCAATGCATTGCTGAGCTGACTGCTACTCACAGTGACCCTAAGAACAATGGCTCTGAACCCTGTCTTATCCTGTGCCATCCTCCTCATCTCTGATATACTGGAGTCCATTTTTACAATCACGGTATCAATCCACATTGTTAAGGGGCTTCCTCTTTTGCTGAACCTCCACCTTTCCAAGTCTGATGTCTTTTTTTCTAAGGCCAGCCCCTACCAACAACATGCCTATAAGTATGTATGATGAAGCTTCACCAACCATCCTTGCCTCCCAGGAAAGGCTAGTTTCACTTTCTCCCAGACACATTTGTTCTTTTGGCAGTCCATGGGATATTCAGTACTCTTCTCCAACAACAACTCAACGGCATCAATTCTTCTTCTGACATCCTCAGTCACCCTGTCCAACTTTCAGATACATAGCACGTAACAGAAAAGGCTATGGCTTGGATCATGTGCACCTGAGTCTTAAAACTTTGGAGCACTTTGGAGAAGTCCATGACAGCAAATTTGTCCAGTGCAATAAATCTTCAAATTTCTTGACCAAGTATACTAATTGTAGATCCAAGCATGATAAAATCATTAACAGTTACAGTCTTTTCTCCATCTATCAAAATGTGGCCTATGGGCTCAGTGGTAAGGATTTCTCTTCTTAGACGCTGCTGGATCATTCAGCATTGTATGTGCCAGACATGTGCCTGCCAAGGGCCCTTGCACAGATTGCTCCTTTCCTGGGATTACTTACTATACCTCCACTTAAAGACACAGTGAGAGAAGTTCTATAATACATACAGTGGTCTATGTACAGGTTCCTCAGCATAATTAAATGTTCCACCTATTATTTGTTAAGATAAACACACTTAAATGCCTTTGCATAATTAATAAGACACAAGTAAGCAGCATTGTGGTGTTCTCTGCTTTCACATAAGGCCCTGTGACATCTGCAATGATTTCCCTCATTTCACTGTGATGCACACCAAATTTGCTTTCCCAGATCACTTGTTTAGGAGAAAGATGGGCAATTTCCTCTCCCGTGACTTGAGAGAAAGGTGGGCAATCTCTTCTCATGCAATACAGAGTCTTAGAAACCCAACAGCAGTTGGCTCTCAGTGGGTTCTGACTGTGCAGCAATTGGGTTTTAAGATCCCTAGTTTTGATTTTCCCAACACGGCTAGGTGAGAATATGCAAACTAGGTGGATGAATAACTCTTTATGGGATTGGTCAATTCTGCCATCCCACCAAGTTTACAGTGCACAGATGTAGCAGCAGAAAGGGGGAATTTTGAGACTAGCAACAAAGAAATGGAGAATGTAGTGTGTGCACTGTTTGGGGCCAGAGATTCCTGTGCTGGTCAGAGGCAGACCAAGACAAGAACAGCAGAAGTGGAGACCTAGAGAGCAGCCTGAGACAGAGCAGAATGGGGACTCCCCATGAAGGCTGAGTCGGGACCTCTGCCAGGCTTGCTGCAGGATTAGGGGGATACTGACCTCTACCATCTCTTTACACAGATATAGTCAATCTCATTCCTATGCCTTCTATCACAGAGTCCCCATAAAAAGCCTTTTATGTTGTTGTGAAAAAGGTATTTGCAACAATTAAGTCTCTGGCCTTGCAAAATTCTATACTGCAGTCTCTTGCATTTATTTGATCACTTGGTCCCTATTTTTTAACTAGCGATTCTTATTCTTTATTTCCAACTTTCTGCTCTAACAGTTGTACTTGATTTGAGAGACAAAACCTTGCAGAAGGAGGACTAAACATGAACAACAGAATACATGCGATACTGGGTGCCCAACAAAAACAGATAACAGAGTGGAAATTTCACTTCGATCCTTCACTTTTACTCCTGAGAGGAAAATCAAAATGCTTACCTTTTCTTAGTTGGTTCTGTTGTGTTCTTTCCAAGGCTTTCTCTAGAGAAAAGCAAATATGTATTATTACATAGCACAGGCACGTGCTATACTCAAATGTTCAGTGGGGGCTAACTCGCTACTATGCAGGAACTCACCTACTGGCAGAAAGGAAGGACTACGATGCTTATTTAACTTTTTAAATGTATAATTACACGTTTCAGTGAATTGCTGTTGTCACGCGCCATCGAGTTGGAACTGACTCACAGTGGCCTCTCCAGTGGGTTTGCAGTTCAGAGGCTATAAACGACCCATGGGAAGAGTGCCCATCTTTCCTTTTCCAAGCAGCTGGCCAATGTGAGCTCCCTGCCTCTGGGCTGGCAGCACAACTCCTTACCACTAAGTCGTGAGAGCCCCCTTCAGAGGAAACAGTTACCTATCAAGTACCAACCAAGAGAGTTTATCTCAAATAGAAGTTTACCTCAAATAGAAGGCATTTTACTAGAAATAACCTGGCAGCAGGCTGTCCAATCATTTTTGAGCATTCAAAAGGTTTGATATCCTCCAAAAGGAGAGACAATCTTTTCCCATATGAAAGGCTAGTGATCCACAACGGGGTGCACTCCTACCACTTACAAGGGGCAAATGTTCTCAGCAAATACTCCGGAGGAATAAAAGCTACACCAGCCTGGGCCCTCTCTCCGAAGGCTCTGCAACAGCCCATTCTACCGAGTAATGTAAATGAGTCAAATGAGGTATTAAAAACAGTTCCCAATTCTAGTGTTCCGTCCAACACTAAAAGTGGGGAAAAGAACATTCTTTCCCCCTGACATTTTACAATAGGTGGGGAAATGAAGTCTGGAAGCCCATTTTCTTCTTCCAGGAATAAAGCCACCTTACTGTGACAAGCTTCTGCACAATGAAAGCTTATTTCAGCAAGATACCATCGTTTCTGGGACTCAGACTCCTAGAGCAGGAAGCGCAGAGCACCCCTGAGAAGCCCTGTCATGTGCAGGGCCCTCACTTCCCACGCCATCAAGAGAGCTCAGCATATACGTCTAACAGGAGGGCCAGGACTTCATTGAAGCAGCCAAGGCTCCTCGGACACCCACCAAGAGCCAAGGGCTGGACAGGTGACTGTCAAAATCTGGTAATGGCATGGATCCGTGACACAGACTTTTGTTCGGTGGCTAGCATGGTGGACAGCGCCAGATCTCTCCTGAATGCTTTGACACTTGTAAGACTTTTTGCCTTTAAAAAAAAATCCATTTTACCTCATTGCTTTCTGTTCCTCTTCCATCTGTTCTCTGACTTGCTTGAGTTCTTTGAGCAGTTCAAGATCTGTACCATTGACCCAGGTGTAGACCACGTCGATCGGCATGGGCAGACAGAGCCTAGGACAAGCCCAAGAGTCTCCATGTTCAAGTGTGTATATGCCAGTACATTCAGGAAACAGAGTACAGCACAACAATTCAACTTAAAAGTTCCTTTTTAAAATCAGTATAAGGCCTACGTCCCTGAATTACATGTTCACAAATGGGGGCCCGAGTGCTTCTACCCGTCAGCCTCTCTGCCAGCTGGACCACATACACGAGATCTTTCATGTCCCTTGCATCATCTGCTACTCGCAACCACCTTGTCAGGAGGAAGCTATCAATCCAGTTTAAAGACTGAAGGAGGAGGGCAGCCTTTGAAGCTCAGTTAGATGAGATAAACTACTTTGGTTTCACAGTTTAGCAAAATAACTGAGATACAAATGCAGCCACAGGTAGGAAAGAAATCAGAAGCTACAGAGCAAAGCATAAAATGACTAAGTAAGTAGATTAAAGAATAATCCAAACAGACCCCAATGAAGACCTAGCCCTCCTTGCCGTTAAAGTCCTCCCTCCCTGTCAGCCTCCTCGTTCTGATGTGTTTTCTTTTCTTCCGTAAGTTTCTTATTTTACTTTTCTTTTTATTTATTTCCATTCATTCATTGTTGCACTTTTCTCCCTGCCCACCACTCCCCCCAATACACTCTTCTCTTGGAAAAGTAAAAGAAAAATTCTTTCATTGTTCTACAATCCCTTCCCCCAGGTCCACTCCACTATGCAGCCTTCACTCTGGACTCTTGTCATGACAAAAATACC